CGATGAAAAACAGGGACAGTACATTTATACACACTTTATGCAACTTTCACTATTTTTTGTGTTTTCCAGGGTACAAATAGGGTCAAAGACAAAAGTAGTGACAGAGAAACAGGGAATTTCCTGGCTTCCAGCACCAAGTCTATCCCTCCACAGTTTTCCCATTACTTGTGGGAACTGTGGAATAAAAGTCTTTCCAGACAGAGGCTAAGAAGATAGAAGTTACTAATGAAAAAGACTTCAAATATTGCAGGATTTGGAAATATTTTTTACTCTTAGTATATAAAACTAGTCTCAAATTAGCTTGAGTGTTATTAGAGTGTCTATTTATGAAAGCCATCCTTCTAAAATAATTTCCTTTATTTCTCCCACTCTAGGCAATTTTGCAGTAGATTCTCTAATTTCAGAATTAGTGTTGGATAAAATATGAGAATAAGGAGACACTGGGAACTCCTAAGATCTAGTAAGCAAAATGCCTATAGCTTATGTTTCAACACTATGTAAAATTAATAGGAATCCTCCCCACAGCAAATAGCATATTCAAACACTTAGGTGTGCTGCTCTGTGGTTGTTGTGCAAATGCTTCTGTAGCGTTCGTGCAGGCTGGAATGGAATGTGTAGCTGATGGAAAAGAATTGTCCTTATCTGGTATTCCAAGACCTTTGACTGGATTTCCTGCAAGCACCAGTGTCTTGATGGCATGGAAAGGAAGCTTTGTACACAAAGGTCTTTGGACTGACCCCTGTGTTATGTTGTCCTTCCTTTGGTCTTCTCTTCAACTGTGCTACACATTTACTTTCTCAGATTGGTTTCACTCTTAAAAATTGGGATCCAAAGAAATTCATTAGATAACTTAAAATAATGTGTTTTGTAGGCTGACATTTACAGAGCGTGATCAGGCCTTCAGAAAGACTGAGGCTGTTCTGGGAATGTTTTAAAATTAAAGGGGATAATGCCAATTCAGGTGATTAAACAGAACAAGCTATCAGAATTTCTGGGTATGTCCAGTTGTTTCTGTGATGTGCTGCAAGCTGTATCTCAGTGTTGTTACATGCTTAAGTATAGCAGCGAAGAATTTGAGCATATATGAGAAACTGCAGTGATGACTTATGGGGCCATATAACGAATTTGATTGGCTGGAAACATTTATCTCTCAAGTAAAAGAGGAACTAAAAAATGTAGGAGAACATATGTAATATATCTCCATCTCCATACAATGGCTATTTTCCGTAGAGCCATGTATTTCAGATGGCTATCCCAATTTGGCTATGGTAGCACATACACCCAGAAAGGACTGCAGATATTTTGGGTCTGATCCTGGAAGGCTGCTGCATAATGATCATAGAATCATAGGGTTGGAAGAGACCCACAAGAATCATCAAAGTCCAGCTCCTGGCCTTGCACAGGACAGCCCCAAGAATCATGATGCTCATGGTGTACTGTACATTTGTATCATATATATGACATTCTCTGCTTTTTGCAAATGCTTTAAAAATGCTCTTCCTCCAGAAGGAGCTTTGATGCAGGACAGGCACTAAGTTGCACTGAGCCATTCAGCCAGTGGGCTTAATGGGACAAGGTGCTACTGTGAGCCTCTCCCTCTTTTCCATGCTCTGGGCATTAAAGAGTCACATGGTGCCATGTCCCAGCAAAACCACCTGAGTACTCAGTTGCTCAGGGACAGTCACAGAGTGGCACTGAAATATCCAAGTGATTACAGAAATTGATGAGAAATCAAAGTTGCATATGGTTGCTCTAAGGTTTATTTAAGATTTTTGTTAGATTACAAGGTGACCCAGCATAATTCAAATGTTTCTTTCTCAAAATGCTTATAATTTGATTGTGAATAATGTTCTTCATAAGACATCCAGAACTACAAGTTCCTCTATAAGAAAAAAATTCTCTGAAGAGATGTGCTGTACCAATGGACATAAAACAAGAGCAAGACACTGTATTTTCTCTGACATCACAGATTATCTCACTGTTGATGCAGCAACACAGGTCTCTTCATCAGTTTCACAGAGAATGAGGAGTACTCCCAAAGGAGAAAAAAAATGAAGATAAACTGCCTTCCAGTCTCATTTGCAGCTTCAGTAGTAACAGAATTTCTCCTGTTAAAATGATTTTGCGTAGAGGAATTACAAATAAAATGAAAGCCTCAAAGAAGGAGAAGGCATATTTCTCAGGAGTTGTTGATAACTGAGATACTTCTTTCAAAATATGAAAGATAATTTATATTAGAAAAACAGGAAAAGCATCCGACTGCATCTTCTGAGCTTTAATAGGAAGGTCTTGGCTTAGAGTTTTAGAATTATATTAAGGACCCATCACAAGTCTGTTCTGTACAAAAAAGAGAAACAAAAAACCCCCAAAACAACAACAACAAAAAACCTCCAACCAACCCCAAAACTCAAAATTATTTTCCATGTGTTTTCATAGAGAAGAACGAGTTACTGATTTCTAGGTCTCATAAGAAGATCTAACAGATCACTGTGAGACTTAGAAAGTATAAGCTTTACAAATTCCTTCTTGAGAAAAGCAGATTAGCCTGAAAAAAATGGAACCAAAGAGTGCCCTTGGCTGAGGTTGCAGCAATACAGAGTAAGTTTTTGCAGTATGGGTGTGCAGCATAGGTGAAATATAGTTTGCAAAATAGAACATTATTTTCTTTCACATTATTCTTAATCTATTCATGTCCTGTCTATATAGTTGGTAAACTTACAACTGCAGATGTAGGTAGTAAGATTCATATACTTTAGTTCAAGAAACTGAAAATAAGAAAAAAGTCCTGAAAAGAGAGTCCTTACAATGTGCTCTTTGGCTGCAGATATTTCATCCTGAAACCTCGGATTTTAAAGGATGGATAGTCCACCAAATATTAATGTCACTAACAGGTGTGAGTTTCATTTTACAAATAATTTAAAAATATATACTTTTCACCTCACGAGCCCTGTTCTTAAGCTCTGCAACACCAGTAATGACATTACGTATGAAGATATTCAGGCCCATAATACATTCACAAATATAATGTCACGCCAGTTTGCATTGTCTCCTGTAATCATACTTAAAAATGATCATAGATCTAGAGCCAAATTGCAACATTCATGTGGAATAAGGGAATCCCAATACCCAACATATTTGCTTGCAATTGAGAAAAAGACCATTATTCGCAATTTAGAGCAATTTAGACTTTGTTCCTGTCTCATTAGTAGGAAGAAAATAATTTTTCAATTACTCATCACCTAGAGAGTTTTTAAAAATATAAATCAATAAACCTTGCTTTTCAAAGAGGCAAACTCAAGATAGCTTTCTCATTCTCTCAGCTAAAATTTTCCCTGTAATATCTACAGATACGTGAAAGAATTTACTGAATGCATGCACACTTTGGAAACATCGGTGTTAAAAAAATAGGTTTTTCATTGAAGTGTGCATTCTTATAAGCATTTATAGCTGGAAGGGAGCTTGTAAGTATGGGTTTACTTAAGTACAATTGAAATACGATGGCAAATATGGGCAATAGATGACTACAAAGCCTAGTTTCTAAAAATCCACTCTAATATCTTACAGTGGATTTTTAGAAACTAGGCTTTGTAGATTCACTACTACTGCATTTTATTTGTTTATTTTTTAAGTTAAGCAAATTATGAACATTTTATGCTAGCATTTCCTGAAAATTTACACGAGGATTGATTTTTATCGATTAAGTACCAGCATGTACTTTTGTGCAACTAATCCCTGAATTTCTGCTCTTGAGGAGGTTTTTTGTTCTTTATTATCTCTAGGTTGTAGTTTCATTTGAAGACAGTTGAAGGACTTCTCTCCAAACATAAGAAGAGATTTTGCTCAAGAGCCAGCCCATAATTATACAAGAATACATGAGGTGTTCCTCTTGTCTGTATTCCTTTTCCCATGATCTACAACAGAATTATGTTCCACACTGACAAACAGGCTACCTCATTAAAGTTTCGGTCTGAAAGCAGTACAGTCCATGCAAAGTTGTTGCTTGGTCACTTAACGTAATGCCTATGCAATTTTAATTTTAATTTTAATGATTTTTCTAAAGTTACTCAGAAAATTACCAAAGATTTCTTGTACAGATTCTCACAATACTCTTGAATCAACGATTTTCTAAGTAATTTTACTAAGGTCACTGGAATTAAAACTGTGTGGATGAGTTTACAGGTCCAGATTCAGCTGCTGACTTCAGGGACCTAACCTGGGACACAGCATCTTGAACCCACTTTCTGGCCTCAGCACGGTGCTTCAAAGCTGCATTGGAGCCTCTAGAGCCAGATGCCTGTGGGCTTCATTGGTGCTCAATACTCAGCTGCTCACCACAGAGCCTATGTTTATAAACTCTGACTATTCTGTTGTTGGAACCTTTTGCAAAATTTATAGAGACAACTAATCACCACATAAGTAATTTCCAGGACGGAATTCTTTCCTGTCTACTTTCTCTGATTATGGGGCTTCATCATCTTTCCTTTCTGAGTAGGCACATGATGCTTTGCTACTGCTGCAGGTGTACATACACTCTTTCTAAACTACAGCCTTTGATAAATGATCCAGTATCAGCCTCTAGCCCTGGATCAAGACCCAGGCACATGTATCCCACAGAACAGCGTGTAGCAAAGTGTGCTGTGACTAACGTGGAGCGTGGTAAGTGCCGCAGCACCACACACACTTTATCAGCGTGCCTTGCAGTTCACTCCTCTTCAGAACACAGGCTCCCTGCACAGCTCACCAGGCAGAGCCCATCATCCCACAGCAACCCTTCTTCCTGTTGGCTTTATGTTAATTGCAGTGTTATTTTGACCCTAAAAGGGAAATGTGTTAAATGCTTTGTGGTTTAGTTTCTTTTGGTAGTTTTTTATTTGGGTTTTTTTTGTCTGTTTGTTTTTGTTTTGATTTCTGCTTTGACAGAAGTGTGTTTTTCCTGTGCTTTAAGATTTTGCTCAGAAATTGAGAATTCAGAATACGAAATGGAGTCAAACATCCCTGCCTGCTCTTACTGACTTTTATTGAGACCTCAGATAAAAGCAGCATGCCATCATGAAATGAGAGATTGGGTTGTGACTAAAAATCAGTGATTTCAGGCTATGTTATTGAAATTTCAGTCTGAACACAATACAGTCCATGCCAAGTTGTTGCTTAGTCACTTAACATAATACCTATTTAATTTTAAATTTCAGTGATTTTTCAAAAGTTACTCGGAAAATTACCAAATATAAAGACATAAAAGACAGTTATGAAGAATTAAATTGCATGTAGACCAATGTCAAATATCATACAAGAAGTAAATTGTCTGTCAAAGAATAAACATGAATTAAACTTATTTTTTACTGAAAATATTCAATTCGATGGCACTTGCAGTCTTCAGAATATTTTTGTTTCAATCCTTTTCCTTCTGACCAAAGGCTTTATCCATGCTCTCAGGGAACTTGATGCATGATTCGAAGCATAGTATTGTTTTTCTAGGAACGAAACTGATGAGACAAACACGGAGTTAGGTTTGGTTTTTTTTAGAAAAATGTACTCTATAAATAAAGAAATTAAAATTCATTATATTTGCTCAGTAATTCTAATGTCTGGCAATAACACATTTGGTGTTTCCCCCATGTTATAAGTGGGGGAAATGAATGACAGGCCAAGCCATTTTGCAAAAGCCCAGCCAGCAGTGGAGGCAGTGGCTGGAAGCAGACAGTTCTAGCCCGGGCATTACTCCCAGTGTACCATATCATGAAAATTCTTGAAATTTCTATACTAAACTGTAGCTTAAGACATATATTAGAGACAGAAGGGGCCAGAGGAATGCTACTCACCTACACTATTAAAAAATTAAAACCCACTGTTTCTTCAAAGTTGGGTACCTATAACTGGATTGACTGCAGGAATATTAACTAAAGGATTGCTTTTACTAAACATTTCTGCTGATTTTACGGGCATATGGCAAAGGAAAGAAGGCAATGCTAGAAGACAAGTCACATGCTTACGTTTTCAAACCCAACAAGCGTAAAGTTGGAGGCATGATTAGATAAAACTTTTCCTTTTTAATTGCATTCAAGATCTTGCTGGCTACATACTCTGGATCGTAAACAGGAAGCAAAAGAGGTTTTCTGTAAAACAAGAAAAAATTGTTATGGAATTATAAAACTTTGCTTTTGGGATGTATTCTAACACATATGTAATTAACTAACTTTCCCCTCAAATAGCCTTGAAAAGGAATCTCCAAATCTCTTTGTTCCTGCTATCATCAGAATAAATTGAAAACACTTTGATGATGTTTTGAATCTTAATGGCTTTAGAGCAAGCAGAGCATAATGAAGTTAATGCCCACAATGACTGCAGCATTTGAAAACTTCCAAGCTTAGCCATACTATGTTCTCTTCTGTGCACAAAGTTCTGCCTTCTGCACAACTCCTCTTTCTCTACTGTGGATGCTGAGGTGACAGCTAAGTGGATCAGAATCAGGTCTGTCTCCAGCCAGGAGAAAGGCTGTGCTCTGCATAATATATGCTCCTGCAGGATGATGAATGGTGGAAGCAGGAGCAGAGCACTGAAAAACCAACGTCACTGCTACCGTGCTACTACAACAGTTAATTCAGTGCTTGCAGCATCTCCAATTCCTGCACCCATAGTCTCCCACCAGATACTATCACCACAGCTATTCCCTCTCAGTGCAGTACCTGCTAATACAGATCATGGGGCACAGTTAATAATGACAGGTCATGGGTATCCTGACAGCCATAACTGTAATCACACTGCCAAAATTACTTGGGGCAGAGAACATCAGCAGTGTCCTTTCTACTGATGAATAAGGCTCCCTTTAACCCTTAAATACTGCTGTGCATCCCAAACCATTCCTTGACTGTGAGGTTATTACAGTCCCTGTTGCACGTCAGTTATTAACTGTATGCAAGACTTGCATTTCTTTAGATCAAAAGACATAGTTTTATGTGCCAATAGGGCAAAAACAATGAATTGAAAATCAAATCAACCAGCTAGAGACTGAATATGGTATATCTTGTGAGTAGTGATTATTTTTTACATACGAAATAGTACGCAATCTGTTTTACTTACGCGCTTTGGAAACCTTTACTTAATTTAGTGTTAACAAAATAAGGGCAAATGATTGTGGTTTTAATGCCACATTTTCCTGCATGATACAGTTCTGAACTAATGCCTTCCATCATTCCAATGATTGCATATTTGCTTGCAGCATAATCTGAAAAATGAATAAAGAAGAAATATTCAAAATCTCAAAAGCACCACTGTAAATGCTATATACAAAATTTAACTCTTTGTAATAATATTTAATCCATTATATTATTTAGTTCTATAATTAGCAGCCTTCTAGTTAGTATTTTAAGCATATTGGTGATGCTAACTCTGAAGGTTAATGACTTTTCCTGTGGTTGATGCACAGTTGTCTAAGGATAAGATTAATCCTTTCCAGAGCAGTTTTTTTCAGTACACTATAGAGTGATATAGGAAGATGAACTTATTAAACCTTTTATGTGCATTTCCAGATACTCATATACAAAACAGACATTCTTTCAGTTAGAACGTCTTCACCCTTCAATATCACAGGTTACATTTCAGAAAGAACTGTTTCTAGTGGTAAAATATAAATACTCTACTTATAAATGCTGCTTTAGCCTATTACTTCTGATTTACCCTGCAACTTTTTGTTTTGTTTTCCCAGGAAGATGGAATCTAGTCAGAATTTTATTTTTGATGAATGTACAAAACTCCATCCTTGGCGATAATCAAAACTTGCCCTCACACAACCCTGTGAAACCTGATCTAAGTTGAACCTGCTTTTATTTGGATATGTGGACCAAATGACCTTCAGAGATTGCTTCCAACCAAATTATTCTACAATTTTAAAACTGAAAGAAACTAATGTAGTGATTTACATGTGGTTTCCTAAGGGTTTTTCAAATCTTTGTGTAAATAGTTGTTAGATACAGTGAAATCCAATTTTGCTAAAAGAGTGACTTCAAAGACTGGCATCAGAGATAGTTTGCTATTCTTCAGGAATTCACCCCCAGTAAATGATGGAACCACACAGCCTAAAAATAAATAGCTAAGGTGTAGAAGGTTAAAACACGGATGCTCAGATCCACTCCTTTAAGTCTTACAGTTATATGATGAAAGCTGAACGTAACCTATATTGTCAATACCAAATATGACCCAATGATAACAGGTGGCAAATGAACACTACAGTAACACCATCAATCAGAAGAAGAAACAAGAGACACTTATTACACCGAAGTTCAGATTCTTAGAGAGTGTCCTCAGCGATACAACTCAACATGTAAGACAGGCTTCAGGAAAGACTGGGCAGCAGACCCAGACTGATGGAATAGGCAGGACTAGAGCAGACTGCTCTCCTGAGGGAAACAGCTGAGAATATTGAGCTTTTAAATAGCTTAAAACTTTATTCAAATTAATTTTATTGAAAATTCTGCCAAAATGCCTTCTGGACCTGAAAATCATTTTCCAGCTAAATATATAGTTCCAGGTATAATCCATGTTTCAGGACTCCAAAGAAAACCTGGTGTGAGAAAGAGTTAGACAACCTGTATGCAGAGCTTCTTCCCACTGCATGCATACAAGCTGTATTGTCCTTATTCTGCCGAGATAAGACAGCCTGTAATCAGACAATAAAATCTGCAGCGAGCTCCCGGTGCCACTTGGGTAACGTGACACTGTCACACTCGTTGGTACAGCATCACCTTTGGCATCCACAGGTTCTCGTCAGTATAGGCTGCTTAAGCCAAGCATTTATTAGGTCTCAGAGAAAAGTCATTTTTATGTAGATCTAATTTGTAATGGCAGTTGACAATACTAACCTGTCAGTCTGTAGAGTCCCAGCAATCCGCTTGCACTGGCTGTGCTAACCAGGTGCCCACGGTTACGGGCCACCATGGCTGGAAGAAAAGCCTTGCAAGTCTAAGAGAATATACATATAATTAAAAAAAACCCTTTATAAATAGACACGTCAAAAAAGTTGCATTTCAAAATTAGGCTTTCTGGGGCTTCATTATACAAGAAGCCCAACTGACCTTTTATCTCTGTAAAAATTTTTAAATGATAGACAACATTTCCTTGAATGACTGCCCTCTATTTGATGATCTAACAGCATTAAAATTGTCTTATTAAAAGCAGCAAAGTTTCTATTTTCTCTGCCTCCTGGTTCCTCACGATTTGAGTCTATTTGAGACTGTTGCCAAAGGTTTGGTACACAAGAGGGAGCTAGAAGTCAACACATCAAGGGAAGTTCAGCTGCCTGTGGGTCCTTTTTTTTTACAAACTGAACTTCCAGACAACTCCAGCATCCCAGACACCACTGTGGGTGACACTAACTAAGGAGAACACTAGTGTTTTATGAAGTGTTAGATAAAAAAAAAAGACAAACAATAACAATTTTTTTTTCAATAGCTGAGATGTCCTATTTGACTCCAAATGTGAGTACCTAGTATATCACTATCCTCCTGCCCAGTGTTTCTTCAGACCTGTCAGGGGGAACATCTCTCTCAGTCTATTTGCCTCAAGTATTTGGAATAATGATGCAGTGTGGCTGAGGAATGCTTAGAGAACTCCTACCTGCAAGGATTTTCCACGGAGAATCGCCTTTTAACAAGGGAGTTGCAATGCTATATTGTTCCCTGATGCAAGCTGTTCACTCAGGCATATAAACAAAAAATGCAAGAGGGGGCAAGAGTAACACTCCCTCACAACAAAAGCTCCTAAAGGTCAAATGAGAGCCCAGATAACAAATTCCTTCAGAGGTAATAAAATAAAGATAATACTTACTATCCACACTACTTTTCTATGTACTTTAATCAGGTGGTGATTAGGAATGAAAGCACAGCCTGAAGACTGACACCAACATGTGCAGTAAAAAATGATTGGAATAGAATGATTTAGGTTGGAAAAGAACCGAGTCCAACTGTAAACCTAACACTGCAAATCCACCACTAAGTCATGGTTGTGTCTCCCTGAATGCTACAAGTCCCTTAGACAAAGACTTCTAATGCCAGCAAACAGGGAGGACACATGCCATCATGTCAGCGCTAACTTCAACCACAGCTGTTACAGGTAGAGCACATTTCATGGTACAGTTGCACAAATTTTTGATTTACCAGAGTGCTCAGGGAGGTTTGTCTTAATACTACTGAAACATAATGGGGAGACTGTCAATTTGGTGTGTTTCCAATTACAGGATGATTATGAAAACATATTCTCCCCCAGTTGAGGCCCTTCACATCCCTATTCTAAAGTGGGGTTTTGAGGTAGACGCCACCATGGTGATTTTCACACCAAAACACTTGACTCTACCTTTTGGTCACACAGAAAAAAAAATAACAAACCACAAAACTTTACCCAGACTTGAGAGAAGAAGTTGGTTTTGAAGGTCTTTTCAAAATCTGCATCTGAAAGGTCACAGAACTTCTTCCCAATCAGTATGCCAGCATTATTGATTAGAATAGTAACATCCCCAACTTCTTTTTTAACCTGAATAAAAAAACATAAAGTTTTAGAAGGTATCCTTGCCTCTTGTGCTTCATTTATGAAAATGTTTAGTGATATTTGTAGTAATTGATATATCTACTGAAAACATAAGTACTTAAAAACTGTTATATTGCTTCAGATCAAAGGTCCATCTGAGCCTCCTAGCCCTTGTCTCATGGTGAAAAGCAATAAAAAAAGGACGAGGGCTCTAAGGTCTCCAGCGTACTTAACTTTTTACATGCTGCAACTTCAGAGCTTCCATAAACTATCAGAATCTTTATGTTTAATATATCCCAGTGATTCTCCACCCCATCTCGCTCCCTGAATTTGTGTAATAGCTCCCTGAACTCCAGAATACTTTTGGCTTCCACAGGAATATAAGGCAATAAGTTACAAAGCTTTAGTGTGCACTGTGAGTGTGCTTTAGCTGCAATTGGGACATTTCCTGTCTCATATTTTTCGTGTTGTGAGAGACTGCATTCCTCAGACAAGCCTGTTTAACCTCTTTTCTATATAATTTCTCCTGAATTGGAAAGAATTCAGCACAGATTCCTGGGGATACCAATCCTCTGAGTAAAAAGGATGTACCATGAAATAGATAGATAACCTCACTTAGAAAGAAGGCCAAAATCACCATTAGCTCAATTTATTATAAAAAGATTTTGGTTTATTATAAAAAGATTTTGTCCCAAGATTTGGATTTATATCAAAGCACATGGCCAAGATTTATTCATAGTATTAAGAATCAGTCTCACTGCAGAGATTCCTGTGCTAGAGGTGAGCGGTTATCCAGTGTCTCAAAAATTATAGTATGAATACAAAAGCATAAAAATCCCATACATGCTGCTGTCTGGCAATTTGGAAACAGGTACTTCAATCTGATACCCCAACATCTGACCTTCCTTTGGCTCTCTCAGGGAACCTTAGCATTCAGTGAAGACTTGCTTGATACTCCTTCAGCTGTGCCAGGTTTAATGCTTGTCATAGAAAACCAGGGTTCAGATATTAGCACCATTCCACCTGCACAAACGAATGCAAATCTAGACACTACTGAGTATGGCAGGAATACTCAATTCTTCCTTCGTGGGATGTATCTGTGCTTTCTTCCCACTCATATCTTTTAACTGCTGTGTCAGTCCATATGGTGATCCTCTTTTTCTTCACTTGACAACATAGCTTCACCAGTGTCAGTATTTTATTTAACCTGGCTTCTTTTGACCTGTTTACTCACTGCTACAGAATACATGTGAAGCTTGGTTCCCATTTGCAAAAAGTCAAGGTGATTATTCTACATTACATATTTTGTCAGGTGTCTATTAATTCCTCTCTTTATTATGATTTCTACCAGTTTTCTCTAAGACAAGATCATAGTTTGTGGCCTCTCAAGTGCACTTTAAAACTGGAATATTTGCTACTCTTTGTTTCTGATAACCTGTTATAGCAAAACACACACCCCACATTTCCAGCCCATCAGATCCATATCTAATTTCCTTCAAAATTCCCGGGTGGGCACTGCCTGATCCTGAAAATTAGTTGCTGTTCACTTCACCAGTTTATTTTAAAAACCTCTTCTTTAGGGACTTTGGTCGTTTGATTTGCTTCCCAGAAAGAAAGCTTTCATTATCGGAAAATACCTAGGTTTTTCTGCAGTGAGTATATCAAATAAAACCAATTAATTTAACTTTTTTGCTATTGCTTTATCTTTTGGGTCCAAGCTCAAGACTTCTCATATTACCAATCAAAAAGTTGCAGGTATTTCCAAGAGTAGAAGAGGCCTCTAGATGAAAGACTCTTGAACTAAGAAAATTTCTGGCTTCATCATGACAGTTCAATACATGCAAATATCTATGAAGATGTTGATATTGTTAACAATAATTTAACACCTTAACAGCAATTTCTGAATTTTAAACAGCTCTTCAAACTTCTATTGGTAGGTCATTCTGCGCCCTGCAGCATAGTGTTTGCTGATATGGGCACAGCAAATTCTGCAGGCTGGAGCCCCGCGGCTCATTTGGTTAATGTGTTTGGAGATTGAAAATTGATTGAAAACAAACCTTTTGAGACTGTGTTAAACTAAGAGCAAACAAATAATTTAAAAATGTTCAGCATGGACATTGAAGTCCAACACAGAAATTAACTGCATAAGCCCAAATTACACCTTTTGGTGAATGTCTTTGCAAGAAGCAGAGAGCCTTTATGGGAACTGGGCTTTAATGCCAATTTAAAATGTTATCTTTTAAAGAGATTTGATCTTGGCAAATTCTAAGGTAAGTTTTTATTTTTACTTGCAAAAAATAAGATTTGAGAAGAACTGGGGTTTTTTATAGTATCATTTCAAATAAAGATCAAATGTCATATATGAAGTACTGACCACAAATTGCTCAGACAAAGTTTTCATCTTGCTTGGAAGTGATAACAGATACGAAGATTGCTGAAATTACTGTGATTGCTACTTCCAAAATTGTTGCAGTCATTATCAATGACACAGGTGTCAGGATCACATCATCTGTACTAAGTCATTGGCAAAGATAATCCTCCTTGAACACTGCATATTGTGTCAGCACAGGACAGACCACTCAACAACTTGCTCATCTGTGCTTACATGCTATTACGGTACAATAAATACACCACTGCCCAAGTAATACTATGGTACCACCTGTGGTTCTTAACATTTAGGACGAATGGCCCCAAGCGGAATTTTTTCTGTGCACAGTCAGCACAGTGTCTGTGTCCCTAATGGTGCTAACAAGGGTGGGTAAAATAATACCTTGTTGACTGCAAATGTGAGAATTGCAGTTTCAGATACTTACAGATCCTGAATCCAACTTACCTTTTAGAGGTACTTTGCATTGGGAACATTTCTTGAGGGAAAAAAAATGTTTCAAACTTTCATAGCCATGCTCAGAAGGAATTAATTTGTTTTGGTTAAAATTAAAAGCAACAATCAAAAAGCAAAGAGCTTCCCCCCCCAAATTTTCATAGAAAATTAATGTTACATTTCAAGGCTATTCTGAAACAATCTATCAACATTCACATGTCCTGAAATATTTTAGCTAATTTCTCTGATCTATGCCTTCAGACACTGAACAGTGTATGTTCTTATATTACAGAAGAAGAATTTATCCTTGGATAAAATGGCAGAGTGGCTAACTGGACTATAAGTGAGGCTATACTGGGAAATATTTTCAGGCAGTTTAAGGACAAGTAAAAAGTAACAGTGTGAATGTCCAGTTTCTAGACTCTGACAATAATAAAAATAAAAAAGATAATAGTTTAAAGAATGTAGGTCAGCCCAGCAAAAGAGTTTAATTTAAAATGGAGCTCTTTTCTACTTTACTTCCCAGCTATATTGACCAAAAAATAAAGTGAAACTGAATCATCATTTTGACTGGACACCCTGATGACGTTTCTGAAAACATTATACCCTCAAAGAACTACAGTTTTCTATACAAATGGGCAAAAGAAAGAACTCCTCTCTTACAACACATACTGATTTTTTCTTTTTTTTTTTTTAATTATTTCTTGATATCTTGAAGAAATTTCAAAGCCTAAACAAATATATGGAGATAACCTCTGCTGCATGTTTTACCATACTCTTAATATAAAAGAAGTTACTGTCTCACAATGAAGACTAAAAATGGATAAATCTCAACAGAACCTCTTAAATCCAGTTACTTTATCGAGAACATAGTTTAAGGTCCATCCAGAAGTGACTTGTTGAAAAGACAAAGTCATTGCCCTACATGATTTCTTATCTTTAGAGAATAGTAACAGTTTCTAAAAAGAAAAAAAAAAAAAAGAAAAAGAAAAATAATCTGTAGCATATACTATTAAAAAGAAGCAAGAAAAATCAGAAGTAAGACGCCAAATCTTACCTTGTCTGCCTTTTCATAGACATCCTCTCTACTGCTGCAGTCACAATGATAGACAAACACCCGGTTAGCTCCATTTTCTTGGGCTAATCTGCATGTTTCTTTGTTACCTTTGTCATCGATGTCCCAGAGAATCAAAGTCACTCCTAAAGGAGCAAATTTTAAGGCAATCTGCCTTCCAATCCCATTTGCAGAACCAGTAATAAGAACTATTTCACCAGCAAAAGATTTTTTGCATAGAGGAAATACACAGATGAGATTCTCAATAAGTAAATAAATGAAAAATTTCAGGTACTGTAGTAACTTCTGGATGCATCTGAAGTTGAACATGATTTCTCAGGTACAAGCACCACTCTTCTGTAATTCAAATCCAGAAATAAAATACATTACGACACTGAGATATTGACTAAAAAAAGAGGTTGACCTTCAAACAGCCATTTCTTTTGCCTTGTTCTTTTGTGGAAATACAAAATACATTATTAAAGATTTGCTTTGTGAAATATACCAGATCCTTACTAGTAGAATTAAAGCAAATATCTTCTGCTAGATTCTATGGACCTTCTCTGTCGTCCTGGAGTCCTCAGCTTCCATCTCCTTTTTTGAAAAGGTTTACTCACATTTTAAACAGGTATGTTGAGTCAATAGCTACAGAGCACTTTGTTTTCACAACAAGGTGATGTTAGCTGAACAAAAAAGTACTGAACACACTGGTGTGGTATCAACCTTAAGAAGGAAGGTGTCCTCCTTAGCAGGAAACGTTACCTGTTTCGGGAGGCAGGCAATGGGAATGTTCCCACACTGTGTGTATTTTCCAGTGCCGTACGGCCAAAATCACACCACGTATTCCCATTTGTGAGCAAATTGACAGTCACAGGCAAAAGCCTAGCAATTAGGAGCCTTGATTTTCACCCTACATTAGACCGTACCACTTCCTTTACGGTGTTTGGGGCGGGAAGAGAGAGGCTCAGGAGAAGGAGCGCCCGTCACCGACCCGTCGGGCCCGTCCCACCGCCGGGCTGTGTCCCAGGGGGGAGGCTCCAATCTCCCCGCGGCTGCGGCCCCCTCGCCCCTTCCCCTCTAGCCCCGACCCTGCCCCAGCGGGGCTGAGAGCCCCTCTCTCCGCCCGCCCCACACTCCCGCCGGGCCCCCGCGCTCACCGCCGGCTCCTGCCTGCCCCGCACTGCCCGCCCGACGCGGCCCTCGGCTGGTACTACCCTGCCCGGCCCGGCCCGGCCCGCCCCGAAGGCTGGGCTCCGTGCGGGGGCGGGGGCGGCCCGAGGAGGTGCGGGGTGCGGGGTGCGGGGCCGGGGCCGGGGCTGGGGCTGGGGCAGGGGCAGGGGCAGGGGCAGGGGCAGGGGCAGGGGCAGGGGCAGGGGCAGGGGCAGGAGGCGCTTCCTGGCTGGGCGGGTGCGGGATGCCGGATGCCGGATGCCGGCGGGGCCGCCCGGCTCTGCGGCAGAGGGTACCAAGCCTTGCCGAGGGCATCTATCGGGCGGCAGCTGCCGCTACCAGGTCGACACATCCCGCTGCTGCTGCCACATCGGCGGCCCTCCCGCGCCTGGCCGGCCCGGCCATCGGAAAGGCACTGCAGGTTCCATCCCGCTTGGAGAACCACCTGGCCCAAGGATAGCAAGGGATCTCTCCTCCCCCTGCTGCTACTTCGTAGCAGTTACAAAGTTAAAAACTTCTTACTTTGCATCGTAAATTACTGTTCACCGACTCGCCGGGATGGGAGAAAAAAGGGAGAAGCTGATCATAAACGTGTCTCCCTAAAACAGTGAAACCCCACGATCATCATTGTTTCTCGTGGGTCCTCAGTTTTCCATACATGCCTTATCCAACTTTAAAACCACAGTTCTGCACCACTGAAGCATCACTGTTTTTTCCCCAAGTTTGAATAGAAAACCACACTCCTACCTAGGTCCTTAAGAATGTGCTTTTCCTGTGGTGTTATCTGCTTGTCTCGATCACCTTGACATCTTCCATCCTGTTTACGTAAACAGGCAATAAAGAGACCACTACTTTATTTGCAGTACTTTGAATTTTGCATAAGTGATACTGAAAGTCTTTTTTATCAGCAAGTCATAGAGGGAAATTATTTGAAAAAAGTCACAGCATGCTCTGATCCACACAATTCAGATTAGACTTCATGGGGATTCACGAGGTATTTTTCAGTTAAGCTGAAATGAAATTATAGTTCACATAATTTGATGTAATTTACACCAAGAAATATGGTGGAAAATTCCAGGTTGTCAGTGTGAATAGTTGTATGGAAGGGATGTGCTTTCATACACAATTAACTGTTGAATATTCTATTTAGGTGCCAGAAAAAGGGGAAGCTGAAATACACTCACTGAGGCTGAAGGCAGATCTGTGGTTCCAAACAAGGCACCAAGCAATGCAAAATAGGTGGGTAAGGTAACTCCAAGTGTCTCACTGTAATCGGTAATTACATGGCAAAATCAGCAGACTGTGGTGAGAGGAAGCTGAAATGATTCAGCAACGAATTCCTGGTTAGGAAACAAACCAGAGGAGATGCTTGTTTATTATGATGACACTTCAAGGTGAACAGCATTGGTGAGGAACAGTGTTGCAACCAGAACTTTGCAAGCTGTAAGTTAACAGGAGGAGCCTGTTTCCAAAGCACGTGGTTATGCAAGTATGAGAACACGTCACTTTCCTGCTCTTACGCTGAACCGACCTAAGAAGCAGCTAGCTATCATTCTATATGTAGTGAAAATGACAATGATGATTAAAAATTTGATTAGAGGCTTCGGTGTGGTAGTGGAGTATTACAGTTTATTGCTAGCTTTAGGTAAAGAGTGGATGTGGTAAGTGACAAGGGACTTGGGGGACACACAGTGATTTTGGATAAGTTACATTCTGCTAACTAATAGCTAGATTTGATGATGCCTTTAGAGACTTGTTTAGCATTTGGAGATTAAATATCTGTGTGGATTTTTGTCTTAGTTTTGTCTCAGTGTTTCATAACACTGAATTTTGTTGTCAAACAGAAACTTATTTTCCTGCCTGATGTATGCATCACAACTTGTCTCTAGCCCCAAACTTATCTTTCTCCACAATTAACTTCAAATTTGTACCAGAAGCTCCATTTCCAAATGATATTAAAAGCACAGAAATGAAATTTTCCACAATGTTTGACTGCACTGGAAGAAAAAAAGCCATGAAAACAGCCCCATGAGTGGTATTTTTATTATTGACCTTCCAGTAACAAACCTTCATGTCTGGCATTTGTTTTAATCATAACAAAGCTATTAAACATATGACACAGAGCAAATGCACAAATAAATAAATTTAGGTACACCACTAACAATGTCAAGAACACAAATAACCACATGACCGAGAATGCCTAAAGATGACAGTAAACCAGCATCTTTATGTACCACTGAACATTTTGTATATACTCCATGTTAGGAGAACTTAAGAGAAGTCATAAGAGGCTGTCATGGTTTAACCCCAGAGAGCAACCAAGCCCCACGCAGCCACCCTCTCACTACCCCATCAGTGGGATCAGGGAGAGATTTGAGAGTGTGAAAACTAGAAAACTCATGGATTGAAATAAAGACAGTTTAATAGGTAAAGCAAAAGCTGTGCACACAAGCAAAGCAAAACGAGGAATTAATTCATTGCTTCCCATGGGCAGGCAGGTGTTCAGCCATCTCCAGGAGAGCAGGTCCCCATCACACATAACATTTACTTGGGAAGACAAATACTATTATTCCAAACATACCCTCTTCTTCCTTCCCCCCCCACTTTATATACAGAGCATGATGTCATATGGTCTGGAATATCCCTTTGGTCAGCTGGGGGCAGCTGTCCCAGCTGTGCCTCTTCCCAACCCCTCATGCACCCCCAGCCTCCTCACCAGCATGGCAGTATGAAAAGCAGAAAAGGCCTTGGCTCTGTGTAAGCACTACTCAGCAATAACAAAACCAATAAAAACATCTCTATATGTAGTCACTGTGTTCAGCACAAATCCAAAACAGAGCTCTGTACTAGCCACTGTGATGAAAATTAACTCTACCTCAGGCAGAACCAGCACAGAGGTATATCAAATTAAGCCTATCAAGTCTATTACAACAAATCACTGTCCTTTATTTCTGTGCATAAGAATCGGTTAAACACATATGCTAAAATCTATCCATGTAGAGAGGGATTTGGCTGAGGTTTTCTCATGGTGTAAATCCTCTGGCACCCTTACAATTGTCAAGGTGACAGAGTATTTCCGTAAGTATATGCTTGTTGTGATACATGGAATTATCAAAACTGCTACAGGCCTTGCATAGTAAATGTAAGTATAACTAATTTTATTGGCCTTTTGATTGGTAGTAAAGATTAGAGTTAGATAATTACCTCCTATTCTCAAGCCATCTGGACCTTTTGAATATTTCTGGTGGATTACACATTGACCAATATCTTTTGGTTGCTGAGAATGTGAAGATGCTTACTTGCAAGATGCTGAGGTGAATGATATTGAAAAGCATCTTCACTGCTAAGCTGCAATAGGTGATTTAAATATTATTATTAATTACTAGTAATTACTATATCCTCCAGCTTTTTATAAATAGTTATTAAGTATTTATATATATATATATATATATATATATATAAATAAGACATTTGCATACTCATCCTCATCATCATCATCATGGCTGGGCTCCGCGAACGAAGATTTGGGAAGGGCTCTACCCATGTTTGTTGCAAGTGCGTTGGTGGCTAAAAAGGCCAATAGAAGATAGGCATGTCCAGTTGCAAAAGGCACAGCAGAAAGATTCCTTAGGTGGTATATTCTGCAAGGCACGATTCTTTCTGCGTTATCTTTTCTCCTCAAGGGCCTCAATACTTGTGACTGCTGCTTATTCTAGAACAGATGTATTGGTCACATAATCTGACCAGTGGATGTTTAGGATTGTATGGAGACAGCATTGATGGAAGCATTCTAGGAGCCGCAGGTGGTGGTGGTAGATGACCCATGATTCGGATCCATATAAAAGAGTTGACAGCACTATGGCTTTGTAAACACTGATCTTTGTACTTTTCTTCAAGTGTTTATTTCACCAAACTCTTATGAAGCTTTCCGAAAGCACCGTATGCCTTTGCTAACCTGTTGTCTATCTCTCTGTCAATCTTACCCTCCGAGGAGATGAGGCTACCTAGGTAATTAAACTGCTGGACTGATTTGAGCTCTGATTCACCAATGGTGATATGGGGATGATGGAAGACTTCCTGAGGTGCAGGTTGATGGAGAACTTCTGTTTTCTTTAAGCTGACTTCCAGCCCAAAGAGCTCAGCAGCGTCTGCAAAGCAGGATGTTAAACGCTGCAGAGCTGCTTCTGTGTGGGTGACAAGGGTAGCGTCATTAGCATAGAGCAGCTCCTGGACAAGATGATTTAAGGTCTTAGTTGCCTTAGTCACCTTAGTGGGCCTTCCGTCGCCTTAGGTTGAATAGCCTTCCATCAGTACGGTATCGAATGTAGATACCGTCCTGATCCTTGAGGTCTGCCGTGGCCCTTTGGAGCATCATGCTGAAAAAGATTGTGAATAGGGTTGGTACAAGAATGCAGCCTTGTTTCACACCATTAGTTATTAGAAAGGGCTCATAAAGTGCATTGTCATATCTGTCTTGGCTGTGCTGATCCTCATGGAGTGAGATGATCATTTTAAGGAACTTGAGGGGACAACCTAAGCATTCCAAAATCTGCCATAGACCTTTTCTGCTCACAGTATCAAAAGCCTTGGTGAGGTTAACAAAGGTTGCATAGAGATCTTCATTCTGTTCCCTACACTTCTCTTGCAGTTGTCTGAGAACAAATACCATGTCTGTGGTGCTCCTGTTGGCTCTGAAATCACACTGGTTTTCAGGTAGAATTCCTTCTGCTATGGTGGGTATTAGTCTGTTCAAGAGTATTCTTGCCAGGATTTTGCCAGCAATGGAAAGCAGAGTAATACCACGGTAATTTGAACAGTCTG